CTGGGTCTCTGTGGGTCTCTGTGGGATTCTGTGGGGCTCTGTGGGTCTATGTGGGGTTATGTGGGTCTCTGAGGGTCTATATGGGTCTCTGTGGGATTCTGTGGGATTCTGTGGGTCTTTGTGGGTCTCTGAGGGTCTATATGGGTCTCTGTGGGTCTCTGTGGGTCTATGTAGGTCTCTGGGTCTATGTGAGTCTATGTGGGTCTCTGTGGGTCTATGTGGGGCTCTGTGGGTCTATGTGGGGTTCTGTGGGTCTCTGAGGGTCTATATGGGTCTTTGTGGGATTCTGTGGGATTCTGTGGGTCTTTGTGGGTCTCTGAGGGTCTATATGGGTCTCTGTGGGTCTCTGTGGGTCTATGTAGGTATCTGGGTCTATGTGAGTCTCTGTGGAACTGTGTGGGTCTATGTGAGTCTATGTGGGTCTCTGTAGGTCTATGTGAGTCTCTGTGGGTCTATGTGGGTCTCTGTGGGTCTCTGTGGGTCTGTGTGGGTCTCTGGGGCTCTGTGGGTCTGTGTGGGTTTATGTGGGTCTGTGTGGGTCTATATGGGTCTCTGTGGGTCTCTGTGGGTCTGTGTGGGTCTATATGGGTCTCTGTGGGTCTCTGGGTCTGTGTGGGTCTATATGGGTCTCTGTGGGTCTCTGTGGGTCTGTGTGGGTCTGTGTGGGTCTCTGGGGCTCTGTGGGTCTCTGTGGGTCTATGTGGGTCTATGTGGGTCTGTGTGGGTCTATGTGGGTCGCTGTGGGGCTCTGTGGGTCTCTGTGGGTCTATGTGGGTCTATGTGGGTCTCTGTGGGTCTATGTGGGTCTCTGTGGGTCTATGTGGGTCGCTGTGGGTCTATGTGGGTCTCTGGGTCTATGTGGGTCTCTGTGGGTCTATATGGGTCTCTGTGGGTCTATGTGGGTCTCTGTGGGTCTATGTGGGTCTATGTGGGTCTCTGTGGGTCTATGTGGGTCTATGTGGGTCTCTCTGGGTCTCTGTGGGTCTCTGTGGGTTTCTGTGGGTCTCTGTGGGTCTATATGGGTCTCTGTGGGTCTCTGTGGGTCTCTGAGGGTCTCTGTGGGTCTCTGTAGGTCTATGTAGGTCTCTGGGTCTATGTGGGTCTATGTGGGGCTCTGTGGGTCTATGTGGGGTTCTGTGGGTCTCTGAGGGTCTATGTGGGTCTCTGTGGGTCTATGTGGGTCTATGTGGGTCTCTCTGGGTCTCTGTGGGTCTCTGTGGGTTTCTGTGGGTCTCTGTGGGTCTATATGGGTCTCTGTGGGTCTCTGTGGGTCTCTGAGGGTCTCTGTGGGTCTCTGTAGGTCTATGTAGGTCTCTGGGTCTCTGTGGGTCTATGTGGGGCTCTGTGGGTCTATGTGGGGTTCTGTGGGTCTCTGAGGGTCTATATGGGTCTCTGTGGGATTCTGTGGGATTCTGTGGGTCTTTGTGGGTCTCTGAGGGTCTATATGGGTCTCTGTGGGTCTCTGTGGGTCTATGTAGGTCTCTGGGTCTATGTGAGTCTCTGTGGGTCTATGTGGGTCTCTGTGGGTCTCTGTGGGTCTGTGTGGGTCTCTGGGGCTCTGTGGGTCTGTGTGGGTTTATGTGGGTCTGTGTGGGTCTATATGGGTCTCTGTGGGTCTCTGTGGGTCTGTGTGGGTCTATATGGGTCTCTGTGGGTCTCTGGGTCTGTGTGGGTCTATATGGGTCTCTGTGGGTCTCTGTGGGTCTGTGTGGGTCTGTGTGGGTCTCTGGGGCTCTGTGGGTCTCTGTGGGTCTATGTGGGTCTATGTCGTTCTGTGTGGGTCTATGTGGGTCGCTGTGGGTCTCTGTGGGTCTCTGTGGGTTTCTGTGGGTCTCTGTGGGTCTATATGGGTCTCTGTGGGTCTCTGTGGGTCTCTGAGGGTCTCTGTGGGTCTCTGTAGGTCTATGTAGGTCTCTGGGTCTATGTGGGTCTATGTGGGTCTCTGTGGGTCTCTGTGGGTCTATATGGGTCTCTGTGGGATTCTGTGGGATTCTGTGGGTCTTTGTGGGTCTCTGAGGGTCTATATGGGTCTCTGTGGGTCTCTGTGGGTCTATGTAGGTCTCTGGGTCTATGTGAGTCTCTGTGGGTCTCTGTGGGTCTATGTGGGTCTCTGTGTGTCCCTGTGAGTCTCTGTGTGTCTCTCTGGGTCTCTGTGGGTCTCTGTGGGTGTCTATGGGTCTCTGTGGGTCTCTGTGTGTCTCTGTGAGTCTCTGTGGGTCTCTGTGGGTCTCTGTGGGTCTCTGTGTGTCTCTCTGGGTCTCTGTGGGTCTCTGTGGGTGTCTATGGGTCTCTGTGGGTCTCTGTGTGTCTCTGTGTGTCTCTCTGGGTCTCTGTGGGTCTCTGTGCATCTCTCAGGGTCTCTGTGGGTCTCTGTGGGTCTCTGTGACTCTCTGTGTGTCTCTCTGGGTCTCTGTGGGTCTCTGTGGGTGTCTATGGGTCTCTGTGGGTCTCTATGTGTCTCTCTGGGTCTCTGTGGGTCTCTGTGTGTCTCTCTGGGTCTCTGTGGGTCTCTGTGTGTCTCTCTGGGTCTCTGTGGGTCTCTGTCTGTCTCTCCGGGTCTCTGTGGGTCTCTGTGTGTCTCTCTGGGTCTCTGTGGGTCTCTGTGTGTCTCTCTGGGTCTCTGTGTGTCTCTCTGGGTCTCTGTGGAGCTCTGTGAGTCTATGTAGGGCTTTGTGGGTCTAATTGGGTCTCTGTGGAGCTGTGTGGGTCTCTGTGGGTCTATGTGGGGCTCTGTGGGGCTCTGTGAGTCTCTCTGAGTCGCTGTGGGGCTCTGTGGGTCTCTGTGGGTATCTGTGGGTGTCTATGGGTCTCTGTGGGTCTCTGTGGGTCTCTGTTGGTCTTTGTGGGGCTCTGTGGGTTTTTGTGGGTCTCTGTGAGTCTCTGTGGGTCTCTGTGGGTCTCTGTGGGTCTATGTGGGTCTCTATGGGTCTATGTGGGTCTCTGTGAGTCTCTGTGGGTCTCTGTGGGTCTGTGTGGGTCTATGTGGGTCTCTGAGGGTCTCTGTGAGTCTATTTGGGTCTCTGTGGGTCTCTCTGGGTCTCTGTGAGTCTATTTGGGTCTCTGTGGGTCTCTGAGGGTCTCTGTGGGTCTATTTTGGTCTCTGTGGGTCTCTTTGGGTCGCTGTGGGTCTATTTGGGTCTCTGTGGGGCTCTGTGGGTCTATGTGGGTCTGTGTGGGTCTCTGTGGGTCTATGTGGGGCTCTGTGGGTCTCTGAGGGTCTCTGTGGGTCTATGTGGGGCTCTGTGGGTAGTTATGGGTCTCTATGGGTCTCTATGGGTCTAGATGGGTCTCTATGGGTCTCTGTGGGTCTAGATGGGTCTCTATGGGTCTCTATGGGTCTCTGTGGGTCTCTGAGGGTCTCTGTGGGTCTCTGTGGGTCTCTGTGTGTCTCTGTGGGTCTCTGTTGATCTCTGTGGGTCTCTATGGGTCTCTGTGTGTCTCTGAGGGTCTCTGAGGGTCTATGTGGGTCTCTGTAGGTCTCTGTGGGTCTCTGTGGTTCTCTGTGGGTCTCTGAGGGTCTATGTGGGTCTCTGTTGATCTCTGTGGGTCTCTGTGGGTCTCTATGGGTCTATGTGGGTCTCCGTGGGTCAGTGTGGGCCTATGGGTCTCTGGGTCTCTGTCGGTCTCTGTGAGCATATGTGCCTCTATGGGTCTCTGAGGGTCTCTGTGGCTGTCTGTTTTTACACGCACACACACACACGCGTGTTGTTGGCATGTCCGTCCGTCTGTCTGTCCGTCTGTCTGCGCCAGGCGTGACCAGCGAGGGGAGCCGGGCGAAGCCGGAAACCTCCGTCAGGCTCAAGGACAGGAACTGGTGAGGCTGTAGGATGTCACTCTTCAGGGTCACGCTGGGGTCACGGTGGGGTCACGGTGGGGTCACGTTGGGGTCACGCTGGGGTCACACTGGGGGATATCCATAGAGACCCATAGACACACACAGAGACGCATGGACACCAGGATCAAACCCACGACCTCCTGCGTACCAGGCGAGGTAGTCAACATCTCAGCATGGAACCCACGACCTCCTGCGTACCAGGCGAGGTAGTCAACATCTCAGCATGGAACCCACGACCTCCTGCGTACCAGGCGAGGTAGTCAACATCTCAGCATGGAACCCACGACCTCCTGTGCACCAGGCGAGGTAGTCAACATCTCAGCATGGAACCCACGACCTCCTGCGTACCAGGCAAGGTAGTCAACATCTCAGCATGGAACCCACGACCTCCTGTGTACCAGGTGAGGTAGTCAACATCTCAGCATGGAACCCACGACCTCCTGTGCACCAGGCGAGGTAGTCAACATCTCAGCATGGAACCCACGACCTCCTGTGCACCAGGCGAGGTAGTCAACATCTCAGCATAGAACCCACGACCTCCTGTGCACCAGGTGAGGTAGTCAGCATGGAACCCACGACCTCCTGTGCACCAGGTGAGGTAGTCAACATCTCAGCATGGAACCCACGACCTCCTGTGCACCAGGCGAGGTAATCAACATCTGACCCACGTGACTGGCTGCAGGTCTCTCTGCATCCGTCTGCCCGGCATCTCTGGCCCGGCCCGCGCCTCCTCATTGGTCCAATCGGCGCGGGGCGGGGCCGGGCGGCCCCTCTCGCAGCAGCCAATCACAGACGAGGACGTCGTGCTCGCAGTCGCCAAGTGCGTGGAGCACGTGGAGCAGTACGGTGGGTGGGGGGTGGGGGGGGGGTGGGGGGGGGGGGTGGGGGGTGGGGGGGGTGGGGGGGTGGGGGGGGTGGGGGGGTGGGGGGGGGTGGGTGGGGGGTGGGGGGGTGGGGGTAGAGGGTGGGGGTAGAGGGTGGGTGGGGGGTGGGGGGGTGGGTTTGATGGGTGGGTTGGGGTGAAGTATGTCACTGGGTCACTGGGTCATTGGGTCACTGGGTCATTGGGTCACTGGATCATCGGGTCATTGGGTCACTGTGCCATCGGGTCATTGGGTCACTGGATCATCGGGTCACTGTGTCATCGAGTCATCGGGTCACTGTGTCATCGGGTCATTGGGTCACTGGATCATCGGGTCATTGGGTCACTGGATCATCGGGTCACTGTGTCATCGAGTCATTGGGTCACTGGGTCATTGGGTCACTGGGTCACTGGATCATCGGGTCATTGGGTCACTGTATCATCGGGGCACTGTGTCATCGAGTCATTGGGTCACTGGGTCACTGGGTCATTGGGTCACTGGATCATCGGGTCACTGTGTCATCAGGTCATTGGGTCACTGTGTCATCGGGTCATTGGGTCACTGGATCATCGGGTCACTGTGTCATCAAGTCATCGGGTCACTGTGTCATCGGGTCATTGGGTCACTGGATCATCGGGGCACTGTGTCATCGAGTCATTGGGTCACTGGGTCATCGGGTCACTGTGTCATCGAGTCATTGGGTCACTGGGTCATTGGGTCACTGGATCATCGGGTCACTGGATCATCGGGTCACTGTGTCATCAAGTCATTGGGTCACTGGGTCATTGGGTCACTGGATCATCGGGTCACTGTGTCATCAGGTCATTGGGTCACTGGGTCATTGGGTCACTGGATCATCGGGTCACTGTGTCATCGAGTCATTGGGTCACTGGGTCATTGGGTCACTGGATCATCGGGTCACTGTGTCATCGGGTCATTGGGTCACTGGGTCATTGGGTCATGGTCTCACTGTGTCACTGCCTCACTGTCTCAGGCCTCTTCAAAGAGGGCGTCTACCGAACTTGCGGCGTCGCCAGCGTCACCGAGGCTCTGGTGGAGAGGCTCTGGGCAGACCCCCGCTCGACCATCCTGGAGCCCGGCCATGGGAACGTGGACGTGGCGGCGAGCGCGCTCAAGGCCATCCTGCGCCAGTCCCCCACGCCCTTGATCCCGAGCGGGAGCGAGTGGACGAGCGTGGCCGGTGAGCTCGTTCACTCGCTCGCTCGCTCATTCATTCACTTATTCATTCAATCAGTCTCTCACTCTCTCACTTACTCATTCATTCACTCATTCATTCACTCACTTACTTACTCATTCACTCGCTCACTCACACACTCACTCACTCATACACTCACTCACTCATTCATTCATTCACTCACTCATTCATTCATTCACTCACTCACTCATTCATTCACTTATTCATTCAATCAGTCTCTCACTCTCTCACTTACTCATTCACTCACTCATTCATTCACTCACTTACTCATTCATTCACTCACTTACTTACTCATTCACATCGCTCACTCACACACTCACTCACTCATACACTCACTCACTCATTCATTCATTCACTCACTCATTCATTCATTCACTCACTCACTCATTCATTCACTTATTCATTCAATCAGTCTCTCACTCTCTCACTTACTCATTCACTCACTCATTCATTCACTCACTTACTCATTCATTCACTCATTCACTCACTCATTCTCTCACTTACTCACTCATACACTCACTCATACACTCACTCACTCATACACTCACTCGCTCGCTCATTCATTCACTTATTCATTCAATCAGTCTCTCACTCACTTACTTACTCATTCACTCATTCATTCACTCACTCTCTCACTCACTTGCTCATTCACTCATTCACTTACTTATTCACTCACTCATTCATTCACTTATTAATTCACTCACTCATTCACTCGCTCGCTCATTCACTCATTCGCTCACTCATTCATTCACTCTCTCACTTACTCATTCACTGTCTCTCTCACCCTCTCACTCATTCACTCATACACTCACTCATTCATTCACTCACTTACTTACTCATACACTCACTCTCTCATACACTCGCTCATTCACTCACTCTCTCATTCTCTCTCTCATTCATTCATTCACTCACTCACTCATTCACTCATTCATTCTCTCACTTACACATTCACTCATTCACTCACTTATTCATTCACTCACTCTTTCTCACGCAACCACTTTCACTCACTCACTCATACACTCACTCATACACTCACCCACTCATACACTCACTCACTCATACACTCACCCACTCGTACACTCACTCACTCATACACTCACCCACTCATACACTCACTCACTCATACACTCACTCATACACTCACCCACTCATACACTCACTCACTCATACACTCACCCACTCGTACACTCAACCATACACTCACCCACTCGTACACTCACTCACTCATACACTCACTCATACACTCACCCACTCATACACTCACTCACTCATACACTCACCCACTCATACACTCAACCAAACACTCACCCACTCGTACACTCACTCACTCATACACTCACTCATACACTCACCCACTCATACACTCACTCACTCATACACTCACCCACTCATACACTCAACCATACACTCACCCACTCATACACTCACTCACTCATACACTCACCCACTCATACACTCAACCATACACTCACCCACTCGTACACTCACTCACTCATACACTCACTCATACACTCACCCACTCATACACTCACTCACTCATACACACACCCACTCATACACTCAACCATACACTCACCCACTCGTACACTCACTCACTCATACACTCACTCATACACTCACCCACTCATACACTCACTCACTCATACACTCACCCACTCATACACTCAACCATACACTCACCCACTCGTACACTCACTCACTCATACACTCACTCATACACTCACTCACTCATACACTCACTCACTCATACACTCACTCATACACTCACTCACTCATACACTCACTCACTCATACACTCACCCACTCATACACTCAACCATACACTCACCCACTCGTACACTCACTCACTCATACACTCACTCATACACTCACCCACTCATACACTCACTCACTCGTACACTCACCCACTCATACACTCAACCATACACTCACCCACTCGTACACTCACTCACTCATACACTCACTCATACACTCACCCACTCATACACTCACTCACTCATACACTCACCCCTCCATACACTCAACCATACACTCACCCACTCGTACAACTCACTCACTCATACACTCACTCATACACTCACTCATACACTCACTCACTCATACACTCACTCATACACTCACTCATACACTCACTCACTCATACACTCACTCACTCATACACTCACTCATACACTCACCCACTCATACACTCACTCACTCATACACTCACCCACTCATACACTCAACCATACACTCACCCACTCGTACACTCACTCACTCATACACTCACTCATACACTCACTCACTCATACACTCACTCACTCATACACTCACTCATACACTCACCCACTCATACACTCACTCACTCATACACTCACCCACTCATACACTCAACCATACACTCACCCACTCGTACACTCACTCACTCATACACTCACTCATACACTCACTCACTCATACACTCACTCACTCATACACTCACTCATACACTCACCCACTCATACACTCACTCACTCATACACTCACCCACTCATACACTCAACCATACACTCACCCACTCGTACACTCACTCACTCATACACTCACTCATACACTCACTCACTCATACAGTCACTCACTCATACACTCAACCATACACTCACCCACTCGTACACTCACTCACTCATACACTCACTCATACACTCACTCACTCATACACTCACTCACTCATACACTCACTCATACACTCACTCACTCATACACTCACCCACTCATACACTCACTCACTCATACACTCACTCATACACTCACCCACTCATACACTCACTCACTCATACACTCACCCACTCATACACTCAACCATACACTCACCCACTCGTACACTCACTCACTCATACACTCACTCATACACTCACTTACTCATACACTCAC